CAGTTCTGAGCCTTGGGCAGGAAGCTGGTCTTCAGGTGCCTTTCAGTCTGACTGATCCTGTGTTTCTGTGAAAATATAAAAATACCTAGAAGCCCAAATTGACAGCTGATTTCTTAGATGCTGTGGGAAAGAAATTCTTGCTACAGTCATACAAGGCTGCGCTTGAATTATAGCTTAAAAATAAAAAATGAAAACCCTTTTCAGCTTATTTGATGTGGCATTGAAACTGGAGCTACAGCTTCCATTTCAAATATTGATAGTGAACTGTTGGAGGGAGAGAAACTCGTGTCAGTCATGCCAGAGCTTCAGAAACATGAGATCTGGATGAAATCTGCCAAAAATGGTACACTGTCACTTTCTAAACACTCAGCTAGTTTTAAGTGATGTGATCTGGAGATCTTTAAATGCTGACTTCATTAGAAAACAGAAAAAAACCCATAAATAAATGGTTTCAGCGTGGTTACATTTTTAGCAGAAAAGGTTATTTTAGTTGTCATGAAACATTAATTCCCCTTTTGTGCCTTTTTGTATTAAAACACTAATGAACTTGTATCCAAAACCAAACTACCTTTAATTATGCATGATATATATTCATTAAGCCCCAGAGGGAAGGGGGGAGGTCATGTGACCAGCATGTGCCTCATTACCATTTGTGAAATGATAAAAAATTAGCAACGGATAGACAAAAAACAAAATGGAAACAAGTTTATTGTAACTGGAGGGAAGGAGCTGTTGGAATTTTTTTGGTGCCTAATGTTTTTTTGCTGAACTTCACGGGTAAAACAACAGCAGTGAGTGTGACAGCCCTCACACCATCCCCAAACAGGGGTGCTATAATAGGAAAGCACCACATCTGTGTCTGTGCTGCTCCATAGCTGAGGAAATGGCTTTGGAGCAGGTGGATTGCTTTAATTATGCAGTGGCTGGGAATGACCCATGGGGCTGCCTGGGTGGGGATCTCAGAACATCCAGATCGCTTCAAAAACATCCAAGCTTAGTAAACACCAGATCTCTGGTCCACTTACAGCAAAGTTCTGCAAGAACTAGAAGCTATGGGATGCTTCTGAAATCAATTTTTTGCAAATGTACCATAGCTGGCGCTTGTTTAATCCTTCAGCAGCTGGAGAGGCACCGGAATGTTTACCCAGAATATACAGCAAAAGCCTCTGTGCCTGGAGCTGAGCTAGGTTTTAGATTATCTCGTGTGTTGATCAAGTTATTACATGGTGATAATGTGGCCACACTCATTACATTCTCATTGCACTAATGTCTTCATCTCGAAACATGTCAAGCATGAATTTGGGACAGTAAGCATGAGGGTTGAATAAGACTGGGAGGCTTGTAGGAAAAAAAAATGAAAAAAAAACTAGATAAAAGTAGGCAAAGCCCTACAAAATATAGTCTGAGTTCATATTTTAGTCCTGTTGATACCGTATGAAAGCAGAGGAAATGTCTGTATTGGTCAGAGGAGGAGAATTAGACTATTTTTACGGGGAATACCTGAAGTTGTGGGCTCTTGTACATCCAAAGCTGCAAAGGCAGGTACCCAGTTTTTCATCACTGGAAATGGAGACTAACTGCTTTCCTGTCCGTCAGTTGAACAGCTGTCAATCCAGGGCGTAGGGAGAGATTGTTGGGAATTTTCAATTGGGATAGTCAGCTCAGATCATAACAAGGTCTTGTGACTGTCAATCACTCTGGGAACAGAGCGCTGCCTACGAGTGCTGCCTTGTTTTTCTTGCAGGGTTTTGAGTCCAGGGGAATTTGGATGTAACAGTTCTGGGGCGTGTTGTGTGCTTGGAGAGCAGCATGTTCTGCTCCCTGCCTGAGATTGCCTAACCTCCCCTAACAAAACCATCTTCTGGAGGAGTGCAGTTCGAAATATGATTCAAATTGTGATTATGAACAGGCTTTTTTAATGCACAAGGGGCAAATTTTGTGTGTTTTTATTGCAGATAATTTTTCACTTACGATAAAAGGAGTATTAATCATGGTTATAAAGGGAATATGATATTACAACTGTGTAATCCTCCCTTTATAACAGCAGAGAAAATACATCTCATGAAAATAGAGTTAACATTTTCCCAGTATTTAAAGATTTTATATATTCATGATATCGCAAGTATTCCTCTCTGACTTTAAAATTACCTATTAGTCCAATTGGGTTCTTCTCTCAAAGTATTCCATTGCCCTGTGTATCTTGGACTATTTTCTGCACTGGAGTGTTTTTTCACATCACTTGTGAAGTAAGGAAATAAAATAAAGGAATGGCTTTCAACTATTTTTCCTGCCTAGTGTTGTTATGTGTGGGGATAAATATCCTATTACTTTTTCTTTCTCTGTTGTTCTACGTGCCTACCTGTTTTTTGAATGCTTATTCTTTCTGATGCAATTTATTTTTCTAGTTCCTCCTGATGAGATGTAGCTGCCTGTCACTTAGAGACCATGGTAGAATGTATTGGCTGAAATGCTCAGTTCACAAACAAAATCCTTTGATTTTTCTCCTCGGCAGGTATAAAGCAGAGGGTCTTTTGGAAAGCAGGATGTGACTCTGCAGTCACATAAAGGGGTTGTTATAAGCTGGAGTAATATCAACAGTCATGTCCTAAAGAGAGAAGGACATTTGTCTTTTAATGAAAGCAATTATCTCATCATCGGCTTTTTATGCACATATTATCCATTATCCGTTCCTTTTAGGTTTTCTATTTCATATTAGGAGCTCTTTCATTTTCCAGTGAACCTTCCAAATGTATATCCTTGGAGTGCTGCATCCCAGGTGTGACCAGGACTTGCCTCTGGGATCCTGGTGCCTGGAGGTCCAGGAAGATTGGTGGATAATGGTGGTGTGGTGGCTTAGGAAGGTTGTTTTTTTGTGACACCTTGAACCATCCTAAACTTGGAACTCAGCATTTTTATTTTTTTTTTTGCTTTGCATTGAAAAGTAAGCATTAAGATATGTTGATTTTATATGAATGGCAATTGTTTTTCAAATGTGCTCCAGGGGCAACGGGTCAGCCTGGAACAATTATGTGGTTTCACTGATTTTTCCAACACTGTTCAGTAAGACCAAGATGTTCAGATTTTGTAGAGATCTTGAGGGCATTTGTCACACTCAATACCTGCCTCTAGAAGACATGGTTTATTATTGCGTAATAAGCTACTCCTTCCTGCAAATTTACCAGAAGCTTTTACTTGTTGATAACTCTCCAAGCTAATTTGTTTCCTCTTTCAACTGACTGATAATGATCCAAGTTAACTACCTTTCCTCAGGGCAAGTGTCCCACTGCTCCATTAAACTTACAGATATGTCATTTTCCACATGTGGCAGTTGTTGGGATGTGTTGATTTTGCAGTACTTGTTTAAAATATAAACTGTGGTTATAATCTCCAGTCACAACTTTCTCTCCACTTCAATGAATGGTTTTGGAGGGGAGCGTTGAGCTGGTTTTAAGGGGTTTGTGAATCTGTCCATGACCTTTTCTCAGGGTCTTGTAGTGAAATGCCACAGACAATGTGGGCCCTATTTTAATTCATATTACTGGGATGCAATCCCATTGTTTTGATTGTGTTTGCTGTGAAATTCGATGGGATCCTCTTCCAACCAGTGAGGACCCTTTGTTCACATATAAGCTTTATTATCTAAGTAACTTTAAATTCACTTTAGAGGAACAGAAATGCCTTCTTGACATCTTCAGGTTATCGAGTACTGGGAAATTAGGGCTAGTGAAGTCTTTGTCAATATTTTAATTTATTATGGGCAATTTACTAGAGACCAGGTGGTAACTCTCTATAAAAATGGATTTAACAGGTCCACTTAAGCTGTACGTCATGTTGGAATTTGAGATCCAGTAGAAGCCAGTAAGAATCAAATCCTACTGCTTCATATGGAGTTCCAAGATATGCTTCCTACATTGTTTTTGAGCCATCATTTTAAAAGGCATTCTCTCATCTAAATTCAGCCACTTTTCTAGTCAGTCTTTTCTGTGTTTCTGGAGATGATAGCAGACATTTGTGTCAGAATTGTCTGCCTTGTGTCATTTCCCCAGTACTCATACAACACTTCCCACTTCTTTTGCCTTCTAGAGAGTAGTAAGTTCTGGGAAAAAAAAAAAAAAGGCACAACCAAAGAACAAAAAAACCCCAACAGAACTAAGTTAAAGGCACTGCTAAAATTATGTCATCCTGATTTACTCCTTTCCTTTGCTGCAGTTGTACCTGCAACACCTCCAGCTTTTTGGAAGTGCTCAGCACAGCCTTCCTCAGTCCTGCCTGCAGAGCTGTTCCTGCCTTTTTTTTAAGGCAGCCTTTGTGAAGAGCTGGCACTGGAAATCACTCTCTCCTGGCTTAGCCTCCAGACAGGTTGGAAATTAGTTTCTTGTGCTGGTAGTTCCCATATTGCCTGTTCAAACTTCACTCCTATCAATAATTGCTTTGACCACCTTATACAGATCATCTATAACCAGGAAGGAGGTTTCATACTGAGCTTCACAATAATTCTTTTTCTAGCTGGTCAAACCCTCATTTTGCCAGACAACCCATGAAGCTGCAGGTCTGAAACATTTTTTGAAGCTGTTATAAATAAATACCTGAGTTGTGTTTTGTCAGCTATGTTATTGTCTGGTTTTGAGAAGTCTCTGTGGGCAAGGATTTCATCACACTGAGCTCAAATTAAATTCCATGAAAGATTCAAGAGTGCAGCTATAAATCACAGCTTCTTCTCAGAATAGGAGCTGCTGTCTTTGTACCTGCATGCAGGTGCTTCAGCAAAGGGTGTAATTTTACTCAGAGTATTTGTGGAGCTGCTGCTGCCTCAGAGGGAAAGGCTGGGAATAAAGGTGTGAGACCAGGAGCTCCTGTGAACATCCTCATCCTTAAGGCAGCAAATTGTGTTGCTTTCTATTCTCCCATAACCCAGCTTCTCTCTTCCTGTGTGTCTATAGATTATGAGGTGAGTGTGGCAGCTCCCCTTCCCTAATCTTTTTCCTCTCCCTTTCTTGCAGGGATCTGCACAAAATCGTACCAGCCCTGAATGAAGGTGGGAGAGTGGCAAATGGGCTGCTGTGCAGAGACACAGCTGGAGATCAGCTCCAATACAGGGAAAAGAATGTGGATTAAGAGCTCCTCAAGTGAGAAAAGGAGAGATGGAAATGAAGGGTGTGCACTTCTGGTGTATCCTCACCTTCGTGGAGATTTCTGTAAGAGGCAATCACAGTTACCACGTGGGAGAGGGAAGGCAGATAACACATCCAGAAATAATTGCAGAGCTTTTCATTAGCTGTTATTCAAATTGTTATCTTAGCCTTTGTGCTCAATTATCTGACGGCTGCTGAACAACACCCAGAGAGCTGGGGAAAAAAACGCAGGCCCAGCTCTGGGATTAATTTAACATCTTAGGTTTAATTGGAGTGCTCTGTGGGCTTGTCCCTGGGAGAATGGGAATATCCCCCCCTCCCCAGTGATCAGCAGGAGCTGTTGGGTGACAGGCATCTGAGCCAGCCCCATAAGCCTTCCTGCACCATCAGTGCTGTTGCACAGATGTGCTTTGAGTGTGAGCACTGGGACTTCCCACTCCAGAGGTGCTTTGAGGTGCTGGATGGAAGGAGGAACAGTAGCAAGCCTTGATGCTCTCTTCTGACTGCAAGGGGCAGAGAGATCTGCTGTGGCTGAAGGACACCCCTGGCCATCTCTCTTCCCTGAGGAAGCACTCAAAGCCTGTCAGCTCTTTTAACTGGCTGTGGCTCATGTTTAACTCCACCTCTGGCAGTGCAGTGGCTGATCTGGCTTTCAGATGGTGTAGGGACAGAGAAAACGCCCCAGTCTAGGTGCTGGGTGCCCTTTTTGGTCAGTTCTGCCAGGGGTTTCTACAAACCCAGCTGCAGCTCAGGGCAGTATGAGCCTTACCGGTGCTCTGTCAGCAGGGAGAAGTTGTTGCCGTGGCTGTAAGTCTCTTAGACCTTTCCCCCTTGCTGTCAGTGAGTTTGTCTCTCGTTCTTGACCTTAATATCATTGCTTTGAGAGGGTTGGTCTGTTGCATATTGACCTGAAATGAAGGTTAGCACCTGTGATGACCTACCCTTAAGGAGAAAGAAGCACCATGCCAATATGTAGAAAAAACACTCAGGACTTGATTTAAAAAGTTACGAAATCCTGACTCTGCTGTAAAGAACAGGAGGTTGAACTCTTCGAAGCAGCTGGGGTTATGCCTGTTGTCCCAAACAACATCAGCTCACCTCTGACCTTACTTTGTGCAGACAGCTTTGCTCTAAATCCACTCCTCAGCTGACTGTGACTGCACCAACTTAAACCTCGGCCAACAGATTTTTCATTTTGTATGAACTGTGGGCAGTTTATGGTTGAACTGTCACTCAGCCCACTTCTGTGCTAGCAAGGCTATGGAACAACATGCCTGATGCAGTAATCTGGCTCTCGGTGCTCAGCCATGTGGAAGTACAGTTATTACCTTCCTCTGCACCGTGGGAGTCCCAGGAAAGCAGAGACACGGGACAAGCTCTCGCTCCCCTGCCCCATCTCGCCCCTTGGACAGCAATTTCTTAGTGGCAGAAACACAGACTGCAACAAAAGCCCTGCTCCCAGCCTTTTTTTCTGGAGAATAGGAAACAAGGGAGGCACAGTGAGTCAGTTGTGTGGCTTCCTGCTACCTGAAAACTACCCTCTGCTTAGCGTTGTGCCTCCAGGCACTTTCTAGCCCCGAGCACACACCTTTCATTTTAATAACCCGTGTGCTTAGTTTCCCCCCCTGTTGGGGGGTTGTGGGTTTTTTCAATAAGTAAGATGAAAATATTTTGCAGGATTGGAATAAATCCAAAGCACAGAACAAAGGAAAACCAAAGGCAATTTAACCAAAATAATCCTGTGTGAGAAAGTGGTATGGAACTATGTGATTGCTGTGCAAACAGCCTTTGCCTTTTGTTAATATTGTTGAACTCTTACGCTCCTCAGTATTTTTTCTTCTTCTACCTAAAGCTTTTTTTTCAGTGTTTGCTTTTAGTTCTCTATCTATTCTGCATTTGTTTCAAATATTTTGATGGAAGAGCACATGCTTTCCATTTGAGAATCAGATGTCAGGGTAACCAGATGCCTTGGATGTGGCAACTGCAGTGTGTCTTGGCAGCATCCTCTCCTTTCACTCTTGCATTGACAGCCACTACATCACCATTGACCCTCCTCTGGAGCCACCCTAAGCCAGATAGATCCCTCCTCTTCCTCAGTGAGCAGAAACCTGTGGTCTCAGCCAATCTTCCATTTTTTTCTTGATCCTCCTCTTCTTCCACACCTCCTTTTGTGGGCAAAAAGTCTCCTTGCTTGGACTTAACCACTAAATTGAAGACACAAGACTCTCTGACACGTTTCTCTGCTTGCTGTGTTTTTCTGATTTCTCCTGCAGTACCATCTCAGTCACATGCAGCTAAAAATAAACATATTTTCCTCCTGCTCAGCCTTTTCCACTCAACCTGTGCTGAGAAGATTACAGAACAGGAAAAGTTACCTTGGTTTCCAAAAGCACTGAGCTGTATTTCAAGTAAATGTACGATTTTAAAGTTTCATAAGCAGGTTTAGAGAGGACAGCAGAACTCTAGTGGATCCTGGGAGCTCTGAATGATCTTACAAAGTTCTCAGAAAAATAATCTAAGAGTTTATTGGTGCTGGTTAAATCTTTCTTGAGCATGGACACCAGTCTTTGAATGGTCATACTCAGGAACATCTTCCTGAACAGCTATGGAAAAAAAAACCATAAAAGGTAAAATAGATCACCACAAAAAGAAAAAAGATACTGTCAAAACACAACAACAAACCCCTTGCATTCTCTTTCCTGAATAATTGAAAAATCCCCCTGCTTTTCAGTGTAGTTGTGAATGGATATTTGTGTAGGTCATATTAGTTAAGAGACAGACCAGGAAAATATTCAAAGGGGAAATAGATGGAGAAGGGAAAGGAAATAAGCCTGGATGTGTGAGCAGTATTTTTCAGTTTGATCAAACATGTATGTATTTGCAATATCCCATTGCCTCCCTTTTTACCTTTAAAAAAGGCTTGAGGCATATAATTGAAATTATTTCTATGGCAATTTTGCAAGAATTATATATCCTGTACAAGTCAGAGATGGAAAAGTGAGTTTAGTTATTTTGTGTCTTCATGGTCTATTAGTCTTTTTTCAGCTCATGTACCCTTAGAGGATCTGGCAGGTCCTCAGCTGTGGAGTCTTGTCTGCATGGGCAGATATATAGATTCAGACTCCTCCACCTGTATTCTGAGGGGCCAGACACTACCCAGTGTTGCCTGGACGCTGTTGCTGTAATTAATATCCAGGGATGCCTCTCTAACCCTCATTTTTCTTGTTTCAGACACGTGCTGCGTTAAAAACATCCCGTTTGAGAGATACATCCAGTGCCTTCCACACCAGTCACAAACCTCTGCTGCACTTTGGTTTTGGATTTCCCTCCCTCAGAGATGAGGCAGAGCACGGGGAGCTGGAGCAGCACTTCACCTGCTGCCTTCCAAGGAGGGAACAAAGAGAGATGTGGACGTGTTGGGAAAGCTCTGTGATATTTGACATGGATTTGTTTGGTAGGTGCTCGTTTTGCACCTCCTGCCTGTGTGAAGCTGCTCCCGGGTGAGTGAGGGAGACCTGCCCTGGATCCTTCTGTCGTGCATGAATGTCAGCTCCTTTCCTAGCATGTTACCATGGCATCCTACCTGGGGTAACTTAATAAAGGAGAAGAGGAGGATACAAAAGGGACATGTTTATTAACCCTTTCAGGAGAGCCATATGAAAGGGCTAAGAGAAACTGCTATGGAGGATGTCACTGCTTTGGAATCTTGCTTCTTTATTGCTGCTTCTTGGAGATTGCAAATTAAGTAACCCCTGTCCCTTCCTAGGTACCATCAACAGAGACAAATGTGTTAATAACCCAGCCCTCTGCCCCTGGAAAGATGAAAAGTCAAGTCCTGAGATCAGGAAATAGGGGACAACAGGGCTTTACATCACACTAATGTCTTCATCCTGTAGATCACCTGGGGTATCTTATTTTTTGAAGTTCTTTCTTTGCATTATTCTCCCTAGAACGACACCCCTGGTCTTCCCAGAGAATCTACTTTTGTCTGTGACTGCTGAAGGCAGTCACATTTCTAGAGCAGCCTGGTTTACAGGAGGTTTTAACTTGAACTGTTTGCTGGTCTTATGTAAGGGAGGCAACAATTGAATCTTCATAGTTAGGGCTGAACTGGGAAAGTACTTAAAATAGCAGTAAAATCTCTCAGTGTGCACTTTAATTATTAAATTTTGTCCCGCTGCAGAGGAGAGTAATTTCTTTTTGGGATAATTGCCTTTTCGAAGCAATTTTTGCATTAAAGATTCACTGGCTTTGCAGAAGATGCTTCTAAATGCTCCTTATTAAAAATTTAGCTTGAGTCTTGTCTTGCCTCTTTTCACTTTTTACTTTTTCTTACTCACAAATAGTAGCCTTTGTTCTCTTCTAGCCTAAATCTCCTCTCTTGAGCATACTTGCTTTGAGAGCTGCACATTAAAGCAAAAAAATAGTGCATATTTGTTCTTCAGCATTGGTGCCTTGTAAATCCAGGATGGCTGAGGCATAGCTTAGTTGCCTCACAGCCTGAAATCCCACCCTGAAAGGCTTCCCTTCTTAATCAACTGGTCTGACCTCACTGTATCCCCTTTTTATTTGTGACGTCCGATTGGAAAAAAGATATTACCAATTAAATTACCCAATTTATGATTGAAAATGAATCAAAACCTTAGTCTTTTCTGAATGTAGCAAGAAGGATGTGCTGTCTCTTGAAGTAAGTCCACAGGCAATAGTTCATCACATTTCTGGTGTTTTCACCAATGAATTTTTGCACATCCTAAAGGAAGGAGGGGTTATGTGAAGGAATTTCAGAGACCACTACCACACTGGAAACAAAGCTGCTCTCTGTATTCTCTGGAGAGCTCCAAAGTAATCCTAGTCATTCCAAGTAGGTACTTCCTAAGCCTTTCTGATTGCTGATGTCCTGGCCAGAGAATTTTCAGTGGGGAGACTTCAGTCAGAAGAGCATTTTATACTAGATCACATCTGCTAAAAGAGATCAGAATCGGTGTTTCTGTGAGCATCGGTAATGCCACATTAAGACACTTGAGGGTTTCTTCCTATCCCTATATCTAAGTAATGAAGTAAGAAATTAATGAAGTTTCAATAGCCAGAGTTTTTCTTAAAAGAAAAAATAAATATGACATTGAATTAAGGGAACTTGAATTTGTCTTCTACCTGATAGATCCTTTTTGCTGCTTGTCCTGATACTCCTCCTTTGATTTAAATGCAGTTACTCCAGATTTTCCACAGTAAAAACTAGATTGAAATCAACTCATTGACAGACATGAAAAGTTTAGATTTTTTCCCCATTTCCCCAAGTTAAGTGGATAGGAGTAGCCTTCAGAAAAAAAGCAAAGCTTTCAAGGATAGGGTCTTGGACAGTGAGTTCAGACTGGGAGATAATGTTAAATTCAGTTGCAATGTGCAGCTAAGTTTAAGTTTTGATATTGCTGAACCTTCATATACTTGGACTCACGTGGTCAGCTAAAATTGGAAAAAAATACTGAGGCAAACTGATCTTGTGACATTCTACCTGCCCTTTGCACACTTAAAATAAGATTTAAAAAAATCAATCTGCATCTCACTAAACCTGATCTAGAGCCCAGGTGCAGATCTGAGTTTTCACTGAAGATCTCCCATCCTCAAGAAGGGAAAGGAGAAGAAAACAGATTCTTTGGTGCTCCCATTCAGGTCTCTCTCCCTGCACTGGGCTGCATTATATGTGTTGTACAGTCTGTCTTGCCCAGAACAGCTGTGGCTGTCACCTACTAGTGTGGTGTTCAAATTAAGACTGATTGTTTCCATCCATGCAATTAGCTGCTGTCAGCCTCACATGTGGCAAACAATTGGTGCAGAGTTGTTGCTTTTTTTGGTTTTTTTGTCCTGGAATTAGCTGGTTTAACCTTGAATTAAGTGAGTAAATATATAGAACAGCAACTGGAGTTCGGTAGCAACCAGATGATGTTATCAGCAAAACTCTGTCTCAGCTTCCAGCTGGCACTTCTTGAGGGGCAGCAACACAACTGAGATTGGCAGTAAGTGGATTTCATGGGCTGAGTTCTGGCCAAGGACCCAACTACCTGCACAGTGTGTGTTATGACTCTTGCCTTTCTCAGTAAAAAAATGCTTTCTTTTCACACTTATCTCTGGTACTTGTCAGCTTTTGAGCTAATTACAGCCACTTTTTAGAAGGGTATGGCCTTTTGTAGTCACAACACACCTGCTCTATAAAGAAGGTAGGAATCTCCTCTTGTGACAGCTTTGGATTACTCAGACATCTTGTTGGGTTTTACCCTGAGCCTCCATGAACATTTTTCCAGCCTATTCTGTTTGCAGCTCACAGCAAAAGAAAGGGGAGATGCAGAAGGAAGCTGCTGTTGTAACATTTAAATAGACACAGGAGTGAGCAAACACTGAGGTTCAGGCACTCTCAGACTCAGGAGACATCTGGGTTTCACATTTTGGCTTCCAGCTTTGTGGCTTGTGCTCACTTCTGCAAACAGCTTGGTGTTAGAAAACCTCTTATTTAGTGCTTCTCCATGATGAAAGCTTCGGGCCTGTTGTCAACACAAGGCACTTCTTCCCCTTAGGGGGAGAAAGGGAGCAGTTTTTAGAAGCAGTTTTGTGTCTGTGTTGTTTCTTGTCCTGCCCTTGTCCCAGAACGATGTTGTGAGCCTGAGGCTGCACTGCATGGAGTCCCCAGCCTTGCCCAAGACTGTGCTGCTCCCTCAAAGTTCCATTGTCCCACAGCACAACAGGGGCTGTAGGAGTAACAGGAAAACCTAAAAAATATCCTAATGGGGTGTGGGAAAGCAAGAGGACCCCAAGGTTATTCCAGTGCCCAGCCAGGCTGTTCCTTTAACAGAAAAGGCAACAGACTGAGCCCATCATGAAGCAGGTCTTGGCCTTTTGGGAGGGGGAAAAAAAACAGTGGCCTTTGGCATTATTGTCTCTTAATTATTTGTGCTGTGGTACCACCAGGAGGCCCTGTCCTCCTTTGGGACCAGTCCAGAGCTGGCAGTTTTCGCTCTGTCACATTCAGTGAATACGTGGAGGTGACAAGGATCCAACTGTACTTTCAGCTCTGCTGCTTCTTGCTGCCAGCACACACTTGCACCCCTGCAAGTGATTTCCCTCACAAAGGGTGTGTAAGCTGATTTAATTGCTAATAGGGCAGATCTGACAACAGAATACACAGCTATGTTTGTTGGCATGTTCTTAAGATGTGGGGGAAAGGAGCAAGAAGCAAAGTAAAAATAGACTCTCTTAAGAGGTTTCATGATCTAATACATCTGGACAGTGTAAGTTATAATGTCTGGACTAAAGAGTTATCCATCTTTGTTTTTTTGTAATAATCTCCTCGGTGTTTTTATGGCTCAGACTCTTCTGTTCCTGTCATCAGGATGCGTGGTTGGACTTTAGGAGCAGTTTGCTGTGCTTCATTTGCTGTCTTGCATTCAAGTTCATTTGCATTCTGAATATTTCAGAGTACTTTAAAAATGGTCATTAAGTGTATCTTGGTATGTCTTTGAAAAGTACTATTAATTGTATGCTTCAAATTTTATATGTCCCCATGCAATACAGGGTTTGGATACTTTTCTTTCCTTCTCTTTTCCTCCTTCAGATTTACAGATCCAGACTCCTGAAACCTATTCTACTCTAAGCCAAAGCTGTTTTCTTTATCCTTGGGACGTTTTAAAGAGGCTGACAGATGAGTTATGAGTTAAAGTTTAGGTCTGGCTTTAAAAAGATTGTACTAAACAAACCAGTGTATTATTATGCTATGGGATCACTTAAGGAGTCCCTTTTATTGCCAGAACCCGTGTGTCCTTTCTGGTCTCTGTACAGTGGGATCAGAGGTAGCAGAAATAATAAACTGTTGTCACTGATAAAAATAAAGGAAGATGTGGACCTTTGGTGGTGGACCAGGAGTTAGGAAGAGAACACAGTCTTTTGAAGTGCTGAGAAATCTATATGCAGCAATTTTGTGCTTGAGGAAGCCAGTGAAGGATGAAAATCATTATGTTAGTATCTTTCTCAAGGTACTGTGAAATAAACCCAGCAAAATAGAGGGGGAAAAAATTATATGGAATTAATAGAACTTACATTATAATGGGCCCAAGAAGCAACTACATGATGAAGGGAAAATATTCTAGCTGTGTGGCAATATTTATTTATTTTTATTTGATGACTTTATTTTGGAAGAGACAAAAATAAAACGTTCCCAAAATTAGTCACAGTAAGTGTTTGAACAAAAGATGCAAATTAGCTGGAATCAGCTATTGAGCCAGAGCCATGGACACAGTGGTGCATTGCAAGGAAAAATACCAACATTCAGGGCCCTTTGGCTTTGCAGCAGCTCAGAGATGCTGAGCCTCGATAAGAAGCCACAAACAGGAGGCTTAGAGCTCACCTAAGGACCAAAGGGAAACAACCTACAGTTCTGGTGAAAGGGTCCA